TCACTTAATGGACTGTACCCATCTGGGAAACAAGGATACAAATGTACGTATCCAGGGCAATTATCAAGTTCCTTCATTAATACATGACAATTGCTGTGAAGGAGGCTTGGCACCTGATCAAGACATGTTTTAACACAGGTTTATCAGAACATATATAATTTGCTTATTTTGTGGGTATGCATGGTTTACATGTCCATGTGTGTTCCTACACATAAATGAGCATATGTCTATGCATGCATGTGGATGCCAAGGATCAGCCTTGAGTGTCTTCCTCAACTATCTTCGACTTTCTTTTGATTGTTTGTTTTATAAGACTGTTTCTCAGTTATACTGGAGCTCACCAATTAAGGAAGGCTGGATGTCCAGGAGGCCAGGGATCTGCCTGCCTCTACCACCCCAGCATTGAAGTTACAAGCAAGTTCCACCCTGCCCAAATATATTTTCTAACATAATTCCAGAGTTTAATGCAAGTACAGCAATCACTTTAATGGATGAGCCATCTCCACAGCCTTCATCTAGGAATGGGAACTTGTAAGATTCCTCCATCCACTCAGGGTGTCAACTGGTGTTGTCATTGTGCCTGTCATGTTTAGATGACCATATTGTTAAGATTGAGTTGGTGTAACTCCCTGATGTGTATAGAAGACACCAGGCTGTAGCAGATAGGATGGTCCACTGGCTCTTACAATCTTTTTACCACTTCTGTTGTGCTCTTAGCCTTTGGTGTAGGGGTTCTGTTGTTGTTCTCTGTATTATGATTGGTTGTACATTCTGTCATGATATCTACCTGTAGCAAAAGGAAGCTTCCGTGACGAAGGGTGAGATATTTACTTACCTCAAGATATAAGGATAAGTATTTAGATGATATTCCTACTACAGCAGAAGAATATCCCATTTTTTAAATGTGTGTGTATAGATGTTCATGATGGATGTTAGTGTGAGTACACACATGTGTGGAGATCACAGAACAGGCTTCTGTATTGGTCCTCAACTTCCACATTTTCAAGGCAGCATCTCTTGTAGTTAATCACAGTGCATTTCTGCTTTCTGTTCTGCAAGTTTTAAGTGATTATGTTTCCTCTGCCTCTCCTCTCATCCTTAGGAGCTCTGTTGCATTTAGCTTCATATGGATTCTGGAGACTAAAACTCCAGCCCTCATGCTATTGATAGCAAGTGCTTTAACCAAGGAATCATTTTCCCATAACAGTATTTCATTTTCTGTATCATTTTTTAACCCAATCATTAGCTGATCATTTTGAACACAGTATTTTGAAATAAAAGATAGCATGATCCAACTCTCAGGACAATGAACATTTTTATGTGAAACTCAGGGGTGAGGCTGGCTTTGGGTACACAATTTCTAAGCTGCTTAGAAGTGTGCTTACTAGTCTCCTGGTTTCTTATTTCTACCTCAATATGTAGTATCTGTCTTCAGACTCAGGGTTCCAAGAAAACTTGCTGTTGAAATGCAGAGCTAATAGTAAGTTTGTATCTAGAAAACAGACATCAGAATAGAAAGTAAACTTCCTTCACATTTCTCATTTCAAAGGCAATGGAGACTGTTTCTAGAAAACTCATGAGATTTAATCTAATCACAAACTCATTGCCAGTGGTTTAACCACTGGCATCTGCAATATAAATACTTGATAAACTGAAATAAAGACAAGGAAATTACTTCTACATAAAATCAGTTTATTCAGTACAAAAAGAATGATTAAAGATAGAGCAGTAATGACTGACTAGAAATCAATGACAAAGCTATCAATGACTATAGAGTCCTTTCCTTACATACACAACCTTCATTCCTATCCGTTAAAATATACATTTCAGGTTGAACTCCATGGCCATGTATAATTTATTCCAAGTCCAAAATTATCTTTCTAGGGTGTTTTTTTTTTTTTTTTAAAAATCTCTATTCTGTTATCTCCAGGATGTAAATATGGAGAAGGGGCAGGAAAACTAAATAGAAATTGCCATCCATCAAACTAAGAATTGGAAGCATCACAAGGTGTAGTGTCATTCCTCAAATACTTCAAACCATAAAGGAAGAGTAGGAGAGCCCCACCCTTGAGAGGGAAGGCCTGATTCTTCTCCTAAACACTGTGTCCTCTTGCATTGCCCAAAACCGCCTTAAACAGGAGCATGTGTTTCAATCATTGATAAGGAGAAAAGGCAAGCACATCTCTATGCCGAGGAGCTCAGGGCAACACTTGTTCCCATCAAGGAAAAGAGCTCTGGGAAAAACAGGAACCTCTGAAAGGATGCAACAATGCCTGGGACTGCTGCAGACACACTTTCTTTTCCTAGATACCGTGCTTTGTTTTCCCATCTTTAAAGAATATGCTAATTATAAACACCAGGTAGCAAAAAAAAGATGCACATATGAGCCAACTTTCCACTGAATTTCCTTTGTTTTCTGTTATTCTATCTCTAGCACAGAAAGTCAAGATTTCTCAGAATGAAGGGTATATGGCATAGGCACATGCATTGTAAAATAAACTGATAAATTCCCCCAGACCAGCCTTCTTCCAAGGGACAATGCACAGAGTGCTAAGAGTCAGCTTGGAACCATCAGCAGCAGGTGATTCCAGAACTACTGTGGACACAACTCTTTCATGATAGGCTACAGCTCCTAAAGTACAATTGCATGCTTAGCAACATTTCAGTCAGTTAGAAGAAGAGGTTCATAGTGGATGACATAGCTTGCAGAAATAAAAGCTATCAAAATTGCTATAAAATGTCTTGCACATTTTATTAAAAAGCTGTGCATTCAAGCAGTACTACAAGTTAGAATAAAATCAATATAGTAATTCATTTTTTAATTTTTTAAAAAAAATTCTGATTAAAATATAATTATGTCATTTCCCTCTTTCCTTCTGTCAACTCTTCCCACACTTCTTCTTCCTCTCTCTCAAATTCATGAACTCTAGTTTTTAATTGTTGATACACACACACACACACACACACACGCATACACACATATAATTTTTTGAAAACAAAGTTTTATATAGCATTAAAGAAGTCACTAGCATTCATTATGCTAAATATTTTGTCAGGAACTGCATTCCTATAGCAAGGAATATTTTCCCATATGCAGTTTTTTTTTAAAGAAATAATGTAGTTCTTTTTTTTTTAAAAATTAAGAAACCTTTTTCATTCATTTTACACACCAATCAAAGATCTCCCTCTTCTTTCCTCCTACCCCCCTAGCCTTCATCCCCAACTCACACCCCATTCCCCACCCCACACACAAGAAGGCAAGGCCTCCCATAGGTAGGAACATCCAGTAGAGGCAAATCCAAGCCCTTCCCTGTGCCTCTAGGCTGCATGAGGTGTCCCATCACAGGCAGTGGGCTCCAAAAAGCCTCCACATGCATCAGGGATAGATTCTGATTCTACCGCCATGGGGCCCCCCAAGCAGATCAAGCTACACATTTGTCTCCCCATGCAGAGGGCCTCGTCCAGTCCCATGCAGGCTCCACAGCCATTGATCCAGTTTTCATGAGTTCCCACTACTTTGGTCTGGCCATCTCTGCAGGTTTCCCCATCATGATCCTGAAGCACTTGCTCATAGAATCCCTCTTCTCTCTCTCTTTCTGACTGGACTCCTGGAGCTCTGCCTGGTGTTTGGCTGTGGATCTCTGCATCTGCCTCTATCAGTCATTGGAGAAAAGCTCTGTGATGACAGGGTATTCACTGATTTGATCACTGGGGCAAGCTAGTTCAGTTCAGACACCCTCTCCACTATTTCTAGTAGTTCAAGCTGGGGTCATCCTTGGGTATTCCTGGCAACTTCCCTAACATCAGGTTTCTCTCTCTCCCCATGATATCTCCCTCCATCATGGTATCTCTCTCATTGCTTTCCCACTCCATCCCTGTTCCAGCTTGGCCATCCCATTCCCTATAAGTGGATACTAGAAATAAAGCAAAGGATAACCAGACAACAACCCACAGCTCTAGAGAAGCTAACAAACAAGGAAGACCCAAAAAGGGACCCATGAATTGCCCTGGGAAGGGAAAAAAGATGAGATCTTCATGAGTGAACTGGGGGTGAAGGGCCAGCAATGGAGGGTAGGGGGTAGGGGATGAGAACATAATGTAGTTCTTGATGGTAGATGCTGGTCATCCTAGCACCCAGGATGCCAGGGCATGAGACTGATATGTTCAAGACCAGCTCATACTATACACCCAGCCATGTCTCCAAAAAGGAGTGGTATTGTCAGCAGTCATCACTTGTGGGTTTTATATAAATTTGAAATTCACAGAAACTTATAATAAAGTAAGGTGTCATCATCTTCAAAAGCGACACTTGCATAAACATTTCTAAAAGCAAGCCTTACCCTGAGCTGTCTCTCCAGTTCTCTATGGAGAATGCATTGCATTCCATTTGTTTTATTTCAACAGGATTCAAGTTAGAAAATGCACATTGATTTTTGTTTGATCTCAAAAATTTTGTGTTTATTCTGTTGATAGTT